TCTGTAAACACAGGGCTTTTCTTGCAACTTCACRTGAATGTTTTCTTTTTGTTGTTTTGATTCTTCTTTGTGCTGTTCTTTCATGAGAGTGTTGTTCAGCTGGTAGGACACTGAATTATTGCTTCAATTAAGTTGAGTATACTTCTGGACTTCCTAGTYTACTCCACACCTATAGGGGATTCATTTTGTCTTTTATATCTCTTTTTTTTCCAGTCAATACCCTCATGCTAATGACAGTTAAGACTTGGGAGTAAAAATTTGAAATCTACAGATATGAAAGGATTATAATTGTATACCACTAAAAAGTATCCTGCAAAATCTGTTTTTACTGTATTTTTCTGRCAGAAGCAAACATGTATATACATATTTATATATGTATATACAATATACTTTCAGAATGCACCCTGTTGCTTTTGCAGGATTTTGCAAATTCTAAACTTCCACTGAAAAGAGAATAAAGGTCAAATTCTGCTTGTCTTACACATGTATGAAATGAACAGTTGTGCTATGATGATGTACTGCCAAGATTTGGACAATGGGGTCTTTCAGAAATGTTCCTCCTCCTTCAGTGATAAACTCTGTGTGGTGACATATGTGTGCACACAGAGGAGGTGACAGGGACTGAGCAATATATGACTTTGTTTTTACTTTTTAAACAAAGTGGGTTTTTTAGAACCCAGAAGCCAGGCTGTTGTATCTCACAAATGTGTAGYTTCTGTACACCCAGGCACAATATGTGACATGACTTTTATTGGTACTAGCGTGGCTAATGTAAAAAGGCACAGTCAGAGGGTTAACATATGCATTTGARGGTGCTGCAGGGACATATGCTGTATATTCCCATATACAGAGCCTGCTGAAGGTGTCTTTTCATGCGATTAGAAGAGGAAAAGGGCATTCACAGTATGTCTTGTTAAATTCGGTGGTGTGGGTAGAATTAAAAAGTAATTATTTGGCAACGAAGTTTTTTCATGCATTTGGTATGAACACAGAGATTTTCAGACCYGTAGAGGATTCAGCCCATCTTACTGTAGTCAAAAAGACTGCTCTGCAATGGGCTCTTTGAAATTGTCTTGTTTAAAGGCAGTGTAATTTTAGTAAACCAACCTGTGCTTTCCTTTGAAGACTTAAGATTCTATATCACAGCAGCAGCAAGCGACAGCAGACTTCTGGGGAAAAATTTTCTCCAGGTCCAGTGTGAGCTGGTTGTGTTGAATGTCATGAGTAGTTCTCAGATGGCTCTAAGTCACCCGAAGATCAGCTCASTTGGTTAGACCATGATTCTGTCAATGCCAAGGTCGTGGATTTGATCCCTGCATGGGCCATTCACTTAGGAATRTGAGTGCCTTCMAACTCAGAATRTTCTGTGGTTCTGTGAAGTCAGATAGGAGTGGGTGACCTGCAGTGTGCTTTCCTAGACAGATCAGTGTTCCCAGAGAATTGGGAAATAAAATAGAAAATAGCTGTGAGGGCTGTGACCAGAATTTTAAGGGTCCAGGACCCCTGAGTAGCCTGCCATAAGGGTGGCTTATGGAGCTGGTTTGCCCTTCACTTCCTCAGCAAAGTTTGAAAGGTTGGGGCAGATTCTTTCACGTACCTAATTTTGAAATACCAAAATGTTATGCTTGCCATGCTCTATATTTAGTTCCATTTTAAGTCTAAATTAGTTTCTTGCACTTGGTGTCCAGTTTCTGATAGTGACCATTATTAGATATCTGAAAATGGCAATTTTAAGAACTTACCTGCTCGTTTTTCCTCCTRCCATTGACCAGGAATATGGAGGCACTGTGTTTTCTGGAAGACTTAGTGACATTTTGCCTGTAAGTTATATTAAAAACAAATACATCTTGAAGCTTGAACAGCATATAGCAATTTTAAAATACTCCTGAAATTGTTCGACAGCATTTCTTTGTCTAAAGGCGAACAGTGTACACTATTATTTTTATCTTTATTGTGCAGTGTTTCTGCTTACAAGGAAAACCCTCTGAAGTATTCAGGTGTACAAAATACACTATTTGGGTAGTGATTTGAAACCTAAGCAGTTGCTGCATTTTGCTGCTTTCAGTGGTGGAACTAAAGCTGAATTAATGCAGTATAAGTATTTTTTCTGAATACTGAAGTGAATAGATTAGGTCAGTCTTTTACTCCCTTTGTGTTTCCTCTCTAAAGATTTTAGAGATCTGAGTTTGCTGTAGTTGTCTGAATCAATTTTCCAAGCAAACATTTGTAGAACAAAATTTGTTACTAGTTGTGAGAGTGTGGAGATAGTTTTTGTTTGGTTTTTTTTCTCCTCATAATGTGAATTTTGCAAATAACAGTTACTGTGGGATTTATCTAACCACTTGCTGCTAAGGAGCAGAGTTTCAATGTCTGATGGAGCATTTTAGGCATACAGAGAATTGTTTACAATCAATTCAGTGGAGAACATGGCTGGAATAAATTTAAATAGTGAACACAGTTCTGAAAACCATTATGTGAAAAGGACTTCAGCAAAATCTATTAAAAATTGCAGTTTCATAAAAACAATGTGTCTACAAAAAAGTTACTTAACAGTGATAAAACTGATCTGATCTGGAAGCATTTTTTAATAGGCAGTTTTATGTTTTATGGTAGTTTCTGTGGCTTTTCTATCTCTTTTTACTGCTGAGAATGCTCTTTTTCTCCATTCTCTTATTTCGAAACATAAGGTGGAAATGTGCAAGTTATTTTGGTTTAACAGGCAGATTTAGTGATTTTTTTTGTTGTTTATTTTATCCATGAGATGTAATTTACTATAACAGGTAATGTGGAAACTCAAACTGTAGCAACTCAGTTATGCTTCTTCAGCTGCTGCRGTCTAGGATTCAGCATGTCTGATTGGGGATGGGGCAGAAAAGAATGGAGTCTCCATACTCCTGTTGTGGACAGGGTCTGGTCCAGTAACCACTGGACCTAGAGAGAGAATTTCACAGAATTACATAATCCATTCTTTCATGTGCTACGGGAGATCTGCAGCAGCTGAGCAAGTGTTGCTGTGCTGCTGGGGCCTGGGTTTCAGTGGGACAAGATAGGTGAGTGGACAGCAGAGACCATCCCTGCCACCCCTTGGGCTTTCATACTTAACAGCCAGACAGCATGGGAAGCAGGGCAGAAGCATTGTGGAAGGAATGGATATATTAAGGAAGGAAAGAAATATTGTAGGGGAATGGAATGGCATGGAATGGAATGGCATGGAATGGCATGGAATGGCATGGAATGGAATGGAATGGAATGGAATGGAATGGAATGGAATGGAATGGAATGGAATGGAATGGAATAGAGTAGAGCATTTCAGTTGGAAGGGTCCTACAATGATCATCTTGTGCAACTGCCTGACTGCTTTGGGGCTGATCAGAAGTTGAAACTTCTTATTAAGGGCATTGTCCAAACGCCTCTTAAACACTGACAAGTCTGAGGTGTCAGCCACCTCCCTAGGAAACCTTCAGGAGCGTTTGACCTCTCTCCCCAAAAGGAAATGCTTCCTAATATCCGGTGTAAACATCCCCTGGTGCAGCTTTGACCCATTGCCGGGTGTTCTGTCACTGGATACCAGAGAGAAGAGAAGCTGTAGAGTAATGAGATTGTCCCTCAGCCTCTTTTTCTCCAAGCTAGAGAAGCCCCAAGTCTTTACCTGCTCCTCACAGGACATTCCTTCCAGGCCTTTCACCAGCTTTATTGCCTTTATCGGGACACATTCAAGGACCTTCACATCCTTCTCAAATTGTGGTGCCCAGAGCTGCACACAGTGCTCCAGGTGAGGCTGCACCAATGCTGAACACAGTGGAAAATCCCCTTTCTTGAGCAGCTGGTGATGCCATATTTGATGTCCCCCAGGATGGGGTTTGCCCTGCAGCTTCCAGGACATCCTGCTGACTCTGCTGTGCCTGCTGCCAGCCAGCACCCCCAGATCCCTTTCTGCAAAGAGGCTCTCCAGCCACTCCTCTCCCAGTTTATGCCTGTGCCTGACATTAGTCCATCCCAGCTGCAGAATCTGGTGTTTTGACTTGTTAAACTTTATGCCATTAAACACCCTCCAGTGCTCCAGTCTGTGTGGATCCCTCTGCAAGGCCTCTTGTCCTTTCAAAGAGTCAGCAGCACCTCCCAGTTTGGGATCATCAGCAAATGTGCTCATGGTGGATTCATCTCCTGCCTGCAGGTTGTTGGTAGATGAATTGAACAGAACTGGCCCTAGAACTGAGCCCTGGGGAGCACCACTGCTGCCTAGTTGTCAGCCCGATGTAGCCTCATTCACTACAACCCTTCAGCCAGTCCTTCACCCAGCACACCCTGCAGCTGAACACTCATCCCACAGCTGTGAACAAGTTGTCCTGAAGGATGCTGTGAAGGACAGTATCAAAAGCATTACTAAAATCKGGAAAAAGCRCATCCATCACCTTTCCTTCATCCASTGGGTGGGTGACCTTACCATAGAAGGATATCAAGTTAGTTAAATAGGATTTTCCTTTGGTGAACCCATGTTCTGTCAATCTCTAAAATAGGAATATTTGGTTTCTTAACATGGACCATTCTTTTGTACACATTAGATTGGTGATATCTAAATTAGAATGTTATRTTTTGCTCTTTGATTACAATTTTCATTCTTTGCCATTAGTTAGACATTTTTTTTTAAATTTTTATGTTTAATAATTTTGATTTGATTTAAAGGAAATGTTGCCAAATAGGAAGAAATTTATGCAAGTCAAGTATGCTTTCTATCCAGAATACCAAGATAGTATTATCCAGAATACCAAGATAGTATTATATATTTGCATAATTTGACTAAAATGTTCAGGAAGCAGTAATTTTCTTACTTATATGTGTCTTAGGCAGAGGTTGCTGCCCTCATTGCTAAAAAGGTCCCTTTAAATTTTAGGGTGCAAAACTTCTTGCTTTAAGAAGCATCATTTACTTTGTGATTTTATGTGTAAATGAACAATGAAACATTTTTATTGATGTACGACTCTGTCCTTTTATTTCCACAGCCATCATGTACGTAATGGGAGCACTTGGACCTGCAGCTGGATACTTACTGGGAGGACTCCTCATTGGTTTCTATGTTGATCCTAGGACAGCTGTTTATATWGACCAGAGTGATCCCCGATTCATTGGGAACTGGTAAGGATCAAGCATTTTCCAAAACTCTTCTCTCAGTTGCCAGTAGGGAATTCAGACAGGTTGGAAGATTTTATCCCTTGAGGATTTGTTTAGGATTGTAGGAGGCCAAGGAAGATGATGTTTCTGTTGATTATTACACACTAGCCTCTGACAGAGAGGAAATTTTGCCACAAGGGAGCACAAGAACAGTGAATGGAAAATCCCYTACRTTTGGCTKTTTCAGGAATGTCCCTGACCACAGYTGRCACTGACTAACAGCGCTMAGCACAGAGATGACAAAGCAGGATATTGGTGTTGCAGCAAGCCATGGAGGATCTCTGCTGCCCAGAAACAACCATYTCTTACTGAAAGATGGATTAATCTCTTTAGTTTTCAGAGGAGGCAACATGAAACGTTGAACTTGGCTGCCCAGATGAGAAACAACAGGCTTTACTGATCCTAGGCCAGGTAAAGGAGAYAGGATGGGGTCAGAACATGCTCTTTCCAGTCTTTATTTCTCAGGGTGATGGCTTGTGTTTAGGCAGCAGATGATGTAAAACAGTATTCTCTAGCATGGAGCAGGCTTCCAGCAGCACTGAGATGTAGCAGCTGTAATTGTTATCTGATGTCTTCAGGCAGCCTTTGWGATGTGGCCTCCTTAGAAATGCCTCTTTGAGGAGGCAGGTCTTGAGGCGGTTTTAACTCCCTTTTCTCAGATAATTCATAAACCCGCCTTGAAGTTTTCATGCAAGCCCAGAAAAAACCTGAAGTTCATTATACCAGGAAGAGACCTCAACTTTGTAGGTGTAAGGTGCAGTGTCAGTTCTCATGCCCTGGGTTAGTGTTTGTCACTGCGCCATTGCAGTCAGTCTGTATCTGTTTCTGTTTATTCTGCAGTGATCTTTCCTGACAGTTTGATAAGAAAAATTCTGTCTTTTGAGTCTTAAATCTTTAAAGATTTAGTCTAGTTTTATTTGTCTTAGTCCGAGAGCGTTGCTGCACAGACTGTTTTGCTCAATTTTTAGCGAGAGGAAGGCAAAGCTGAGTGCTGAGTGCTTCCTTGAGGTTAACAACTCTGTGGTCTGCTTTATCTACTGACCTACCTCACTGAAAAGATCTGTTCTGTGAGTGTGCAGCAATGTCAAAACTTGGACTGTTCTAGAATAAATGATTTGAAATCAAAGCAAAACATTATATATTCTTCATAAAACTCTTTAACTTCATATGCTTTTAAGGACATGACAGAGCCAATAATCAGCATCTGATCGGTACTTTTTGACAGAAATTGTAAACAGGCCCATAAATATATTTGTTAATTGAAATCAATGGGGCTATATGAATGTGGGATATACTTTTGACTTCATCTATAACACAAYCWCTGATATAACTGAGWTTTAACTGTAGCAGCTCCAGYAAAATARCCAAAGTAGCAAAGTTAGTAAAAGTCATTCAAAGTTTTCTTTTTCTATCACGTTGATTAAATCTGTAGGATCTGGCTTTCCCTGAAGGCATATTCCATGTCTTTTTATTTCTCTTTCATTTTTGACTATGTCAGTTCTTTCTCTTTTAAATTTCTAAGGAGTATCCCCTGCTATCAGATCTTTGGTAATTTGGTGCACAATCTGTTGTGCCCCCTCATGAAAGTTTAGTGGTGTTCAGAGCTTCTTTGTCTCATTCTCTTTTCTCTTTCTAAAGCTATGTCTACCCATTAAAATGAAGACTCCCATGGTGTGAGGGTTAAACCTTTGTCCCTTGMTACTCACTGACTGCCTGGTTGCAGAGAATTCTGGAAGTGTAGACTTGAATTCCACTGAAATGTATTTTTTGGGACTGTGACATTTTCTCCTTGCAGGAAAGTGCTGCATAGTCAAGTTTATTTTTATTTATGCAATCTAACAATTTGCAATGTAAGAGTAKTCCAACACTTACTTCAGCTGACACACTATAAAAGAATGGTTCAATTGAGACAAGTTAATGGGAAGTCATATATGAAATTTCGGAGTCTTGTTTCCTTTGAAGTGAATTAGTGTCTTTGATTCTTATCTTTTCTCTATTAYAGCTGTAAGGTTCCTAATGTAACTTATYGCAGRACCCTGTGAAAATTTTCCATTGTTWAAGGAGGCAGTGCTTACAGAYAAARTAGCRAGTACAGCAACTATGATATATGGCTAAAATAAAAGCATATAGCCTATTTTTTCCTTAAACTGTTCCTTTCTAAGTGGTATATTACAGGACATGCAGTTTGGTTTATCTCTTGTGCAACATGGTAAAGTGGTTATTTTTCAGGGTTATTTCTGATCTGATTATTCCTTGAGTTTCATGGGACTTGGATTTCTGCTCCTGGGTTTTGCATACCTGGGCTTTCTGTAGGTGCTCTGGGCTAAATTACAAGCCAGCTGTCTATGCCAGCCCATCAGATGTCTGAAACTGTTTTATATTCAAATRTGGTAACTGTAGGGATGTCTGTTAGAAATCATTCATCGTGTTCCTGTCTTTGAGAACTATTAATGTGCTATATAGGGACCTCATTAGTTGTGGAGTAGCCCTTGGCAGTCTGTCAGGTGCTTCGAATCAAATTATCTTTTGCTGACGCTTTTCTGAATGTTTTCCTTGTTTAGAATTTGTTTAATATTGGATCTTCCTATATAGTCTTTCATCAACATTCCACACAAGAAGTTTAAAGGAATTCCTTCGGCATTGTCTGGTCCTTCCTTAGCTTTAATTGCTTTATTTGCGGTCCTACGGTTTGTGCGGATGCCTTTGAGGTATTCTTCTGCGTATTTTCTTTGACTTTAGRAGACAGAAAATCAAGGGCTTTTTAATTAATATAGCTCCTGTTCTGACCTCTCGATTTCCCATTGTAGGTGTCCTTATTATTTTTGATACTATCTTTTGTCTGTTTTCCAATTSTTTGATATTTCTCCAGGAAGTTGTAAGTGTAGATGGTGAGATAATTGCATCCAGTGCTGCATTTGTGACATCTTCAGCGTTTGGTATGCTATCATAATGGTCCCTTTGGATTTGATTTCATCTTGTGCTACATTACAGGCCCTGTCTCCTTTGCTGTTTCCTCCTGAGTGGGTGGTTGCAGATTTCTGCATATTATTGCCACAGATTGTTTCTTTGATCAGTGCCTTTGCAGCTTCTGCCTTTGAGATCCTGGAAGGGATGTTGCTACATTTTTATAGAGACTACCGATTTATTCCGTCTGACAGTGCTGACTAATCCTCCTAAAAGTCTGCTTTCTAATCCATGTATGTTATCAGCTAAAATGAATGAACAGAGGATTTTCTGTTTACATAATATCAAAATTAGTCAAAACTTTCAGTCACTTATATTTGCCTTGCAAAAGCTTCCTGTAAGCTTCTAATAAAAATAGTGTTACACATGGYTGTTTATTTGTTTGCCTGTGTGTAATCCTTTACCATACAAAGCATTGCATACAGATTTGTCTTCATTAAAAAATACAGTTTGCAATATCTTTGCATTACAAATATGAGGCCAAATGCTTTTTGTTTCTTATGCAATTCTGTCTACTCAGAATTTAAAATGTTTAAARTTTGAACAAATATATGATTAGTAGTGTAAAGGTTGTACAAAAATTGTTCTTGTGTTGGCTTTGCATGGCAAGGTTTWGGTAGTGGGGAGGCTACAGAGGTGGCTTCTTTGAGAAGMTGCTGGAAGCTTCCCCTGGGCCTGGGAGAGCCAATGCCAGCCACTTCAAGAGGAGTCTGGCCARCATTGAGACCATCAAGTGCTGGTGACATATTTGAAACAACATATTTAAGAAAGGGAAAAAATAAAGACATATGCAACACCAGCAGCAGTTGGAAGAGTATGGAATGAGAATATGTGATAGAAATAGCTCTGCAGACCCTGAGGTCAGTGAAGGAGGAGGAGGAGGAGGAGGAGGAGTTTTGGGTACTCCAGGTGCCAGAGCAGAGGTTCCCCTGCAGCTAGTGGGAGCCTTTCATTACATTTTCCCTCCCCTGTCCTGCTGAGGATGGGGAATGGTGACATTGGTGGGCACCTGGCAGCCAGCCAGGGTCAATGCACTGTGATTCTGGAAATTGGATTGAAAATGAAAAAGCTTTCATTGTTGTGGTTGGTTTTTATAGTAACATGATTGACTTCATAGGAATCTCCAAACGCTAGTGTAGATTCATGTAGTAGGTTGGCTTTGGCTGGCTGCCAGGTGCCCACCAAGTGCTGTCTCGTTCCCTGTCCTCAGCAGAACAGGGAGAAAATACAATGAAAGGCGATAGATCRAGATGAGGACAGGAAAAATCTTCACTAATTACTATTTTGGGCCAAGCAGACTTGACTTAGGGAAATTAATTTATCACCAATTARTAACAGAATAGGACAGAAAGAATTAAAAAGCAATCTACAAGCACTTCTTGCCCATTCCTTCCTTCTCCCAAAGTTCAGCTTCACTCCTGACTCTTCTACATCCTCTGCTAGAGTGATGTAGGGTGCTGCGGAAAGGGGGCTGTGATCAGTTCATAACATTTTGTTGCTCCTTCCTCCAAGTGCTCTTTCTGTGCTTCAGAAAATCTTTTGTTAACTGCTTCAGCRCGGGTCCTTTCCRTGRGTGCAATCCTTCAGGARCAGAATGCTCCAGTTTGCAGCATCCCCCATGGGTGTCATGTCCTGTCTGAAACATGCTCCTATGGGGGCTTTTCTCCACAGGCCACAGTTCCTGCTGGAGCCTGCTCCAGTGTGGAATCTCCACAGGCTGGAGGTGAATAYCATGGTCTTGTCCTGGGCCTGCAGGTGAATCTCTGCACCTGGAGCCCCTTCTCCTCTTCTGCTCTCACCTTAGGTCTGTAGGGCTGTTTCTTTCATATTTTCTCGCTCTCTTCACACAGTTGCTGTGCAATGTTTTTTCCCCTTTCCTTAATACGGGGGCACAGAGGTGCCACAAGCATTCTGATGGGCTCAGCATTGGGTGGTTGTGGATCTGTTTTAAAACTGGCTGGAGCTGTCTATGTCCAGCATGAGAGGCAGCTTCTCACAGAAGCACCCCTGCRGTCCCCACTGTGCTACCAAAGCCTTGCCATATAAACCTGGTACAATGAATCTGTAGTGAAAACTGCACTTTCAGTATGTAAGAACTCTGTGTGTGGATTCTGAGGTTGTCTTGATTCTGAGGTTGTCTTTCTTTGTGGAACCTGCTATGAGAGGTTAAATCTTCCCTTAGTCTTTCACTGTTAGAGGAGAAATTATGTTACCTGACCCTCTGCTATCAGTATTCTGGCTGCTGACTCTAGTTAACTCTTTCTAGAACTTTCTAGTATGGCCCTTTTGCCCATCCGTGGTGCTGCGGTGAAGTTCATAAGCTTTTTGGCCATGGGAAGGATAACTGTATTCCTGGGGCTGAAGAGCTCTTTTCTGTATCCCACACATTGTCCCTTCTGTGGATATGTCCCAGATCATTCCCTAASAACCAAGGGATAGTTTCAGGGTTGTTTTTATTTCCCATATTTRAAAGACAGAGGGAGAGAAGAGGAAATTGTTTCTGCAGGCTGTTTCAGATTGTGGTCACAGAGCAGAGTTTTGGGCATAAACCCTGCCATGAATTGTAGCACATCAGTTGGTTACAATCAGGCTTTGGGAACTCCTCAGTTGTGAAGGGAGAGAATTGAACAGTCAGGGCAGTGAGAGGTAGGCACTGGAATGCAGAACAAATTTAGCTCTGGTGTATCTATCAGGACATTCTRTCTTCTTATGCCATGGAATGCTTTTTTTTGTGTGTTGTGTAGAGAAATAATGTATTACTTTACTGAGAATTATCCATGAAAGGCTAAGTGAAAGGGAGTATCTACTTCTCATCACTTGGTATTGAACAAGTACCAAAGCTGAAAATTTGTGGGAACTTAAAGCTGACACTCTGTAATAAAATTTGATGGGTTCTGGATAAATACCTTTCAGTAAATAAGCCAACAGAAACATCTTCTGATTAAGGAATTTAGTGCAGTGAAGGCTTTCCTCCACTCCAATTATTTACTCTTAGTGTCAGTTTTTCATACTTYGCAAATGTGTCTTTCCAGCCAGTGCAGCCTCTAATAGTCATTTGATTTTCGTGATTTATTTCATGTAATGTGTTTGCTTCTATTTCCATTCCTGTTTTCCTGTCATTAGGTGGAGTGGATTTCTCCTTTGTGCCATTGCAATGCTCCTKGTGATATTTCCCATGTTTACCTTTCCAAAAAAGCTCCCTCCTCGACATAAAAAAAAGAAAAAGAAGATGCACTCTGATGGTATTTCAAGTGATGATGACGTGATGAAAGAGAAAAGCAGTAGCAAAACAGAAACAGACAGTTCAGTTTCTGCCTCTATGGGATTTGGAGAGAATGTTAAAGGTAAAGTTCTTTTTAAATTTTTAAATGCTTTAAATTTTGCTTGCGGAATCATCTAGGATTGTGTGAGTRTAACTGACGCAGTTTTGACATCCTATATTTGCTGTTTTTTTTGCTATTGAGATTTTAATAGATGGTCATCCTCTAAAATGACAAWATGAATTGTTGATGTGGTTGTGTACCTATAACAAGCAGGTATTTCCTCTGGTTATAGGACCCCTATTACCACATGTATTTGTAAACCTTAGCGTTAGTAATTGTCACATTGCTTTATAAGCTGAACTTCATGGAATGAAGTGCTCTTCTACAATATTAGTGAAACAAGTAGAAGGAATTCTGGTATGTGAGTTCAATTGCATTTATGCATTTGGGTAAATTCATAAAGATTATTTGTTTCATATTCCTTTCCTGTCTGTTTTGTACTGCAAGCTGTTTTCTGAAGGCTAAGACAAAACCTGTGCTAATTTTGAAACAAAAAGAGATCAAAAGATTGGCAGGTAATAGAGATCTTTAGTTTTTTCGAGGAATAACCATTAATGTAAAATCTAATAGTAAGTAATAATCAATGACAAGTTGCCTGGGGAAGAAGGGCAGTATTGCTACAAATTGTTAATTGTGAAGCAAATACAATTTAAATTGACAATACAGCCCTAACAGTATCATAAAATGGAATAGTATAGGGCAAGAGTGAATGTTGATATCCTTGTGTTGTCAGTGCTGTTGTGTTCTCCTTGGAGTCTATGATGCAGATGCTGCTCGTGCCATTTCATGGTAGCCTGATGAATGCAGTGGGACTGGGAGAGAATATGAGGTAGCTGTTGTACCATCAGACATAATTTGAACTCAAAACTTTTAAGTGTTTGTTGAAATAGACGTTAGTGTTACTTTTTAATTGGATTTCAGTCCAGACTATAATGATTGSCAGATTTTTTAATGACACATTTATCATTGCTTTTTATGCAGAGTACACAAGGCTTGGCAAAACCAGCTGATTTTAGACTAAACCCAGTGAAATTCTAAGTTATGTTTGCACACCTACCTATTGATTTGCTGGTTCTCTCTGGGTACCTAAAATTACTGTTAATTTCTACAGAAGTAAAGAAAAAGAGGACACCATAACTTTCTTGGGGTGATTTTATTAGCTTACAAATAAGCTTCTTAATCAAGGTACAAAGGTAGCAAAGAGCAAACAAGGTACATATTAGATATATCAAGCCATGTTCTCCTTTTGTTGGCAAAGTAGTAGAAAATGTGGTAGAGAAGCAAGAAAAGCATGTTCCTTCCTCCTCTGAAACTCTTTGTTCTCCATATTTGTGAGTCCCAATGCATAACTTTTTTTCTCCTCAATCCATACAACTAGTTGTGGGTTTTATTTGCCTTCTGACCTACTGRCCTTTGATTAGTGGAAGTAGTTCAGGTTTACTCCTGTCAAGATTTTCCCACTGACATAGGGAGTTGGGAAAGGGGAGTCCAGTCTTTGCTGCACTCCTTCCTAATCGTTGCAGGCAATGTCACAGCAGAGGGACTGCTTCACCCTTAGGTGTGAAGGTACAGGTAAAGATACAGGTATACAGATAACCTGCATCTGGGTGAGTTTGCTGATGCTGGTTCTCTGATCTGGTGCATAATTTCACCTTCCAGGCCACGTAGACCCTACATGCAGAGCACAAACAGAGAAAAATATTTGCTTGGGAGAATGTTTCCTATGACTTTTTTTACAGAAATAAAAACTTCTGTATGTGTCATTTTTGCATGTGTTTCTTTGGTATATATCTGCCTAAATGTATACCATACATTCCATAAAATTCTGTATTAATATRTTAATGGAGCTACCAAATTGGAGCTTTTACTATACAAAACTTTAAATTTTGACTAGAGGAGAAACTTYACCACATGGAACAGTGAAAAGAAACATGCCAGAAAGATAGCAAGTGAGTTGAGATAAGCAGTAAAAAGTATTTTGCTATAAGCTGATAATAGCTTTCCCATTYGGTGTCATTTACCCTAGCAAAGAARGCCTGCAGCAGGAATGCACTATCATTTAATTATTTTTCAAGTTTAAGTGGGCTTTATGGARTAAGATCATGCCTCAAGCTCCTCAGCTGAGGTAATTTTGTTTATAATGGGAAGGAAAAAAGGATCATATGTGCCTAAGTCATTTAGCATTGCTTCTTCCGATATGCAGTGAACATTTTATACTTCCCATTGCATTTCAGAACTTCRTCTTTTTATAGCACTGTGGGCAGAAACTCCATTTAGGCAGTAGCCAGGAGACTGATGATTTAGTAGGTCATATCTTCTTTTCTGTACTAATAAATATCAATGATGTCATAGTCTGCCATGACAGAGGTCAGTACCATCAAATCTCTTATGTCCACGCAGCTTTGTTAAGGAAAGTTAACTGTTTTGTTCTTCCAGTATTGTGTCCTCTTACCTGGAAAGCCTGGCAAAATTGTTTTTGCTTTGTTGTAACTTGTCCTAATTTCCCAATTAATTCTCTAGGAGAATGAAAAGGTATCAAAAAGTCACAATGAGAGTCTTTCTTTTCTGACAGCATAGGCTAAAGAAATAAACCAAAACAGTTCTATCTGCAAGTAACCTCAAACTTCAGTGACCTGAGTTAAATTTTGGCCCATGGTAGAGCTGAGATCAGATAAAAATACAGATACGACTTCCCTTTTTCACATGTTTCAAGTTGCAGGGGCTCGGAATTCAGTCTTTTCTTACTTGTGTTTCAAGTAGAAAGTGTGAATTGAAGAATGCTTCTGAGTCAGGTATCAAAAGTATTAAATAGAACAGTAAGTAGGTCACAGRAGGAAAAAAATTGGATGTAGTTTGTTGGGAAAAATAGAGGTAGTGTAGATAACATGAGCTAGAGGAGATTTATAATGAAGAAACCACGGTTCAATTCCATATGTGCAGATACCACATGAATCTGAGCTGACAAAACCACTGTTTTCATKTATTACCTAAATACCCTCAGGGTTTTGTACCATGGAAATCGTATCTGCAGTCCCTTTCACTTAGCACTATAATGAAAGTTACTGTGCAATTGAATAAAAGAGCAGTGTGAAGAAAGCAAATATATATGTTACCTAAAACAGACGGATCTAATCTGAATTAAATAATTAATCTAATTAATTACATGTATTATGTAGCCTTTGGGGATTTTTTTGTTTTGTCCCTATGTACAGCCCTTTCTTAAATGTATAATATTCCCATCTACCTTTTCACATCTACCAGCTGTCGTATGCCTTAGTCAGTCCCTGTGAGGAAGAGAGACAGGATAATAATGATTGTCAGGGCATCAGCAAAGATAAAAGAAACTCCTGAGGGGCTCGTGGCTGCAAAATAAGTGCACTGAAGTGCTTTACCAAGGATCTGGATTGGAGATTTTGTGCCACCTGAAGCTTGGTTGACAGGGATCAGCAGAGGAGGGGACAGTGGTCTGTATGWGGGCACTGTAAATGTCAGAGGGTTCAGCAGACCATGGGCTGGAGATCTTGCAGTGCCACTGACCTTGAGCAAGTCACTCCCCTCTTGTCCTTTCTTAGGCCATCCTGAAGAGCTCAAAATAGAAAAGACTGGCATAGCTCCATGCAGTGGTGAGCAGTGCTAACTGGAGCCTCRAGGAGCTGCTCTAAATCAAATTAAAATAAGTAATATTCACATCAGACTGATTCTGAACTCCTCCACTGCTGATGGGATCTTAGTGGCTGTTCAGTGGTCCAGCCACCACCCTGGTGCTTAAGTCATGTCCCGAGAGTTGAATGAGGTTGTTTAAATGGTGCATGAGTAGATAACGAAATGCRTGGCAAAGTACTGTTCTAGAGATTAGTGATTAGCTCCATGCAGGATATATTGGAAGTAGTTGTGTGTCACTTTGCTAATTTCCATTTTGATAAACAAACCTGAAATTGTGTCTCAAATCTTGGCTCTGCTTTGTACTGCACAAGAGTGGAATCTGCCCCTGAGAGCTCGGTGTGGAGCCAGCCTTCTCCAGAGCTGCAGCCTTGGGTAGTGCTGTCCAGACTGGGACCCCTAGCAAAAGGGAATTCTTCTAGCTAATATCTTCTTCACTCATACAAGGGACTTTTCTGATGGACTGCAAAAGGACAGTACTGTAAACAGGAATGATTTATTCCCCTGATTGTATTCATTGCATTGCCTTGGGCTGCATGTGCAGGAACAGGGATAAAATAAACTATATTAAATGTTGAAAATGAGGTGAAGTCAGAATTATTTGAGTTTTTATAGAAATTGGGTTTACWGTGGTTTAGAAGTTTTCCTTACTGAAATATTTATTAATTACTTGCAGAATTTTCTTTTCCCTTATCACGAATYAAGCAGTGGTCCAGCAAATGAGTGAAAGAAAAATGAATACTGACCAGAGAAAAAATACTGTCAAAGATCATGAAAGGAATAAAAAGTTATCAGTAGACTAGCAAACCGGTCCAGCAAGGCAGGTTTCAATTTACTCTTAGTTAAATACTAGGTTATTGGGGAAAAACAATGATGAGGATGTTTAAGATTTGAGTACTGCACAGAAATATCGACATGTTTGCAGCCATGCTGAAAGATTATTTTTAGTTCTAGGAGTGTGATTGATAGAGGTTTAGATGACAGAATGAGGGAAAAAAGCAAGTTCTGTAGCTTTGTGTCTGATGCCCATTGGCAGAAACACCCGATGCCTTTTGAAGATGTCTCTGCTAAAAATCAAACCTGACAGGTTTAATAATGGCCTTGAAATCAAAGCCTAGGCCAATGGCTAGCCACACAAAAATTTGACATAGAAATGTTTTAAAATCATGATTAATTATGTAGTATAAAGTATCCTTAAAGTTTTTAGCATTCTTGCTTTTTACAATTACTGTGGTTGAAAGATAATGAGTTACTTAATAGTACCTTTCTATTATAGGTTTTTAAATTCAGAAGTGTRGTATAGGTGATGTCCCACAGCATTTCATGGTCATTATGGGAGGAAATCAGGGAAAACCTAACTCTGAATATGTATTTTTATTTCCAAGGTTCTTACTATATAACAGCATTCCCTTGTATGCCAAACATTTGCTGTTTATAAATCATAAAGAGTTTCAACTCTCAAGTKCTCCAGGTGGTGTGTATTAGTGCAGTGTGCAGAAATAAACTMTTCATTTCACACCAAAATTTACAGTAATCAGCAAAGCTGTTCTCTGAAGATCCCTCCACACGGGTGTAAGGGAACTTGTGCTTATTCCAAGACACTAAGTTTTATCTACTTATCAGTAGAAATCCCATTTCAAAATGCTAATTAGTTTTGAAATGAATAATGGCCTTTAGCCTGAGTGCTCAGATGAGATAAGTAGGAGTCAACAGAAGTACAGCTCTACATAAGAACACCAGAGCAAAATGTTCATTAGCTCTGCAGTTCTTTGCCAAATTAATTCTGTAGCAGACTGAAACTTCTAAACCAGACATTCTSCTGAAGCTCAGTTTTACCAGGAAGGGCTAAACTTTACCAGGTATTATGATGTCTGGACCAGACTTTAAATTAATTGGTTTAGCAAAGATCTTCAGTTCAGCTCTTGGCCAAGAACTACCAGTTAATTTCTACAAAGAGCACTCAGTTCATCATCCTAATAATCTTTCTCTCTTTGATGATACCTTATTTTCTCTATTATTTCTACATCTCTTATTTCTACATTTTCAGCCCAGGTGAGCAGCTGCCACCAAGTAGCTCTATTTCCAGCAGGACCAGTCCTTCTTTCTACTTCCTGACTCCTTTCTCATAGCAGCATCAGCATGGTCATAACTGCTTGCTCCTGTTGCTTCTATTGCAAACAGCAACACTTTAATTTTTTTTAAGCTGTAGGTAGTAAAAAAATTAAGATTTAAATATATGAGTGCTTTTTAATATGATTTATTCATTAGTTATTTCCACCAAATTTTGTATTTAACATTTAATATGTTTTTTCGTAGAAGCAGCAGGAGAGCATTTGACTACATTAAAATTATAAACCCAGTACTCATAATGAATTCAGTATAAATTTTGACAACTGGCATAAGCTAAGACTGGATGCAGTCAGAGAACTTAAGTGCTAATTTGCAGCCTGACAAGTTTTGACGTGACAAGTGAAATTCTGTTTGCTTTTATACGGATAACCTACTGGAGTCAGTGGAGAAAGTGAGACAGATTTTTGTCTTGACAACTTTTAACATCAATAAAATTCTCAGTTGTTCTTGCTCARCATGTATTTCTAATGGGTACTCTTGTCACTGAATTCAACTGGCTTTGATTCAAGCACTATTCCATTTCTGTACCAAGTGAAAAGCAAATGAAAAAAACCCTGAGCTATAGTAGGTTAGATATAACACTTAAAAGAAAATCTGATCTTGGTAAAAAAAAAGCCCCAAGGAAAGAAAGACGTGTTTAAAATCACAACATCTAATCCAAAAAAACTTAAGTGCTGAATAGAGTGATGATAATTTGACATTGCTGCAGGACTAAATTAAAAGTATGTAACTGTTTAATTTAACTACAGTGCTGAATTTCATGGGGGTTTAATATTTGATTTGAGAGTAATTGCAACATCTATTATTACTTTTTCAATTTAAGTTAATGACGCACTCTCATTTTTAATTGATTGTTTTATGCCTTCTGAGAATATTTATTGAGTTGCTTGTAATGTATATGGAGATTCCTTGATATCATTGATGTAATTCTTTCATTGTGCTTTGTCTGCATCATTGTAAATGCTTCTAAATCATATAGAAAAATGTATAACTTGAAGCAGAGAGTAACAGGGGAACTATAGATCTTTTTTCCTCCCATGGAGTGCAAAACTCAGTACTGTCGATTCAGCAGTGTGATATGTGTTATCTCACAGAAAATCTCAAAATAAGACACCAGAATAATTCCAAAATCACTACATGTTATTGCTGKTTTTTATTGCTGTTTTTCTTTCTGTTATGGTGTTACTGTGTAAGCCCTGTTCCTTCAAATGGTGCAATACAYACCTCGGTTGTGTTTGTGCCAAGTGGGACTGTGGCCCTGGGCARTGCAGTGACAGGGGTCAGAGCAGAGAGCAAGGGCTGTAATCCCACTCTATGTGCCTAGCAAATGTACCAGCTGCTAGCAAGCCCTTACTGCCAGTCCGTCTCAGAGGAARTCAATTGGTTCTGTTTCGGTTTGCTTTTGTTTCTCACTCATTGTTTGTAACATTCGTTTGTCATTTTTGTCATTTTATAGAGCTTCCAAGAGCAGCTGTCAGGATCTTAAGCAACATGACATTCCTTTTTGTGAGTTTGTCATACACAGCTGAGAGTGCCATTGTCACAGCTTTTATTACCTTCATTCCCAAGTTCATCGAGTCACAGTTTGGCATCCCAGCTTCCAATGCCAGCATCTACACTGGTAAGGCATTGTCACATGGTGTTACCTTGCAAGGGTTGGCTTTAGCTAATGAAATGAGTCAATGCAGGAGTGAACCAAAAATTTGTTCGAACAGGTGATGCATTTGGGTAGATATTCAGACTGTTTTTTGATGTGTGTTTTATGTATTTAGTAAAATGTGAACCCATTTATGTTGTTAAAGGGCTGGATTTTTTTTTTTTTTTTTGCATAAGCTTAGACAGATGTTTTCTCATCTGTTGATGATCTCCAAGGGGAAAAAAACCAACAAAAACAAGCTTAGAAAACACATAGACATTACTGCAATTTGTGTGCTTTAAAAGATCTCTTTAAACTGTTCTTATTTTCTGTGTATTTTACTTCTTCTTTGATCTTTAAAATATTTTTTCCCCTCAGTGACAGGTTGTTTATCTGTCCCATCCTTCAGCTATTTCTCTTCTCCAGGGTGGTGTTTTTTTTCCTTATTTACATATTAACATTTAGACAACAATCTAGTTAGAATTCCCAAAATTCTCTTCTACTTTTCAGGAGATTTCAGGAGATCCCTATTTTGCAGGTGTGGCACTTCCCTGCTGCCACACCAATGTACCACCACATCCAACTTTTAATAGAGCTACAGACCACAAAACTTTAAGCTTCATGCTGCTGTGTGACTGGGAAGGTGGGAATTTCGCTGTTAAGAGAGACCAGAACATTGTGCAGAATCAGGGTCTGTGCCATGCAAATGAGTTTTCCTCCTCTTCTAGCTGCGTCAAAGACGTGTCTTTATAAGCATCTTTTTAAATTCTCCAGTGCTTCTCATATTGAATAGCTGCAAATTGCAAGGTGGGTTAGTTCTTTGCTCCCTCCTGCTTCCAGATACTCTGCCTGAGGAGTGATGGAGTAGAGTGAGTTGTGGGGATACAGGTGAAGTATGGAGTGAAACTGCTGTTAGGGTCATCTGTCAAAAAAAAGACAAAAAGTAGCAGAAGGAAGAAGGAAGGAACATAGACCTCACATGGGAAGAATTTGTCACTTGTAGTGGCTGGAAGAAATGCAAGGAATTTCTAGAGTGGAGGGGAGAAATCAGAGAGCACCATGTGGTGCTTTCTATTTGGGAGTTTCTGGGTTGAGATTTTTTTCAGGGCATGAAATCCCTGTGTTCTGCATATAARGAGGAAACATTAACTCATGGGACTGTGATGCTCTCTGAAGCTTAGGGTATCTACCCACACAGAAGTTTTACTGTAATGTCCCTTAATGGGATGGCTACACCGTAGCTTGCTTCATTCTCGGGATGAATCTKAAACCTTCTTGCCAGAAAAAATACTCAACAGCCAGTACATTAAAAGAGGTATAACTGGTGTGACTTTGCCCAGAGTGTGAAGTTATTAACACCTGTTGTTTTCTCCATTATAAATTACTTGATAAAGACTATTATAATGAACCAGAAGAAGAAGATGAAATATATCAGGCTGGATGTGCAACATGGACAAGTGAGCATTGCTTCTGCAAACCGTACTCCTAAACTTAGTATTGAAGCCAACAGTTGTTGGCTAGCAGTTGTTAGTTTTAGAAATATTTTTGTAGGAAAGATGGAAGAGGAAAACTTGGAAATTCTGTATTAGATTGCTAYTGTCTAATATAGTAAAAGACATGACAAGTGCACAAATTTTCTGGTTAGTAAAAGGAGAATTTACATTATTTACATTATACATCTGTGCTTAATACATACATTGCCAGCTAAGTACAAGTGCTTCCTGAATCTCTTCATATAAAGATTTTACTGGCAGTTTTTTGTCTCCTAAGCAGCAAATTCTTTAATTAAGTCTCAATTTCTTTCTGTTTTAAAACAACTCTGGCATTAATCATMATCAAAAAACAGTATGTGCCAAACWTCATGTCTTGAACTTGTGCAGCTTCAACATTTAATTTCTGCTCTTGGGAGAAAGACTGSTTTTGATTCTGTGAAGACTTATTGTTTAGAATCTTCCTCATGAACATTTTATTCTATACTGTCACATTTTATTCTATAATGTTGCGGGTGATGGCAATATAATTAAGGTGTCAGCTGGTTTTGCCTCTTATTCTTGCTTTCATAATCTCAACATTTTGATAAATATAATTTTGACCTTTAGATTATTAGCAGAGAATACTTCACAATAATCTTAAAAATATTTGCAAGTGGTAGTATTACTGGCTTCTTTAAAAGACCAACATTTCTGACAATTTGGATTATAAAGTTTAGCTACTCTGTAGATGCAGCTGCCAAAAGTAGTTCAAATTCCGTGTTTGTGTGGAATGCATCTTTATTGGCAAAGTCTTAATTTAAAGACTTTCTCACATGTCAGTGAGAAGCAAAAGACAAAGGGAAGAAAAGTGTAAGACATTTGCTGACTTACCTGACAGGTGAGGACAACCTGGTGATGTGTTTCTGCACCTTAAAACTGCAGCAGCAGAGCAGCAGAAATTTCATAGGCACATCTTTTGTGYCTTAAACTTACCCTAATTCTGTTATCTTAATGTCTTTAATTGTGTTTGATCAGTTTGCACTACTCATATCTGTGCTGAGATCAATTGGAGTGTGAAGCAGGAATTGTGGAATGATAAAATCATTAAGGTTGGAAAAGACCTCCAAGATCATAAAGCCCAACCTTTGACCAAACACCACTGCATCAATAAGTCACAGCAACAAGTGTCACTTCTGGTCATTCCTTGAGCATCTCCAAGGCTGGTGGCTCCACCACCTCCCTGGGCTGCCTGCTCSAATGCTTGAGCACCCTTTCAGTGAAGAAGTTCTTTCTAATGTCTAACCTGAACCTCCCCTGGCCCAGCCTGAGGCCATTTCCTCTTGTCCTGATGCTGATGCCTGGGAAAGTACTATTCAGCTTGAGGAAAGTAGCCAAAAGGCAGAATTTGCAGCCAGGCTCTTGTGTGCCCTCCCAGGTGGGCAGGGTTCTGGGTCYTGCCTGAGATTAGCACTTGTGTTCTGAATTAATCATGAGAGTAGGAAGAGGAAGATTTGTGTCCAAATCTGTATTTCTGTAAATTTTCAGTAGTTAAACTGAACCTGTATGTAGCCCTTCTCYCCATTCTAAAATAAATACAAAACAATGTTTCTGCTTGTAAGTACAATAGTTCTCTTATAGTGSTTGGGCTGCTGCTAATATGATAAGGAGGCTTTTATAAATTCTTTGACAACACTCCAGAGGTTTGAAAAGTCTGACTCAATTTGCTAGCAGAGAATCAGACAATGGAGATCTTAGTGCAGCATTTGCAGTCATCTAATTAGGGAATGAAACCAGTATTTATGTTTTRTACCATTTCTATAAGTCCTGTTTTAATGCTGTTCGAATTTCTTCCTGGCAGGTGTGATTATTGTCCCAAGTGCTGGTGTTGGTATTGTCCTAGGYGGCTACATTATAAAAAAGCTGAAACTCGGTGCAAGAGAGTCTGCAAAGTTGGCTATGATCTGCAGTGGGGTATCTCTGCTGTGCTTTTCAACACTCTTCATTGTTGGATGTGAAAGCATTAATCTAGGGGGCATAAATATACCTTACACAACTGGGTRAGTATCTTCTTGGTTGATTATCTGTGGCAGAAGCAGGTTTATTTCCAATAAGCTTGATCTRGTAAGGTAAAAACGCTGATAGCTGATGTACTAAGGAAGCCACATGTTCAAACGAGAATTCAGAGAGCATTGTGATACAAATACATGCTGTTAGTATGTGGCCCTCGTTTTTTGCATCTGGTTTATAATGCAGTTTGTRTGGTAACTCTCCTTTTTGAGGGGTGAGAAAATGCATCAGAATGGCATAGAGTGATRCAGAAAAATAGGAGTAGTGTCCTCTGTAGATTGCTTAGAATTTACTTAGTGTTTCAAAATTTTTCTTCTCATGAAAATTGTGAAAATACTAAGTGGATTATGAAGATTATTTCTGAATGGGTTTCTGAGTTATCACCATAATAGTATCTTAGGTCTACAGTCCCTATTTGAGAGGAATTACTTGGGCATGTGCTCTCAACATTAGTGGTGAGCCCCTTACTAGTTGTGTGAGTGCCCCCCAGCACTTGGTGGATCATCCTGAAGACAGCAACCAGACCATATTCCCTACAGTTATACAGAGAGTGAAGAAGACTGCAGTGACRAAGAAGTGTGGATATGGAAGGACTTGGGAGTGAGTAACTTAGGCTGTGACATTAARAAATGCATGGAAGGGCATACCAAAAAATAAAGGACATTTGGAGGGAAGACAGTGTAGTAAAAGTTGAGACATTTTCACTGGAAAGTGATTCCTTAGAAGCCTGATCATGAGCTTTCGTTTTCATTCTTATTTTGTACATGAGATTTCCCCCAAAATTGCCTTCTTCATGAAGGTTAAACACAAGAACAGAGTAAGTGTTTGGAGAGTGTGAACCTATCTGAAGCAATGTTTTTTCCCTTTGCTTTTACATCTCAGGCATGTCTGCCTTTTAATTATAACCAGGTGCTGGGTATGAGATCCATTTGTTGCTTTTAGGGCTCAGCTCTGGACTCTTAATATTTTGAAGAGAAAATAGAGTGTGGAGTGGGAAAAGAGATGATGAAAAAATACAGTGRGGCAGAGGGATAGCAAGTGAAAAACAAAGAGGTAAAATGGGAAGCAAGGGAGGAAGAAAAGAGGCACTGTTTACACAGAGAATGTTTTGCATTGCTTGTTGCTGGGTGTCACTACACTGCTGTCAAACCTTAATGCTAGAGCAAAGAAAACCAGCAACTGGGAGTCAAGAGCTGATGAAAAGCTGTTACTTCTTTGTATTCCTAAGACCTCGAGTTAAAGCTTGCTGCTGAGGGGCTGTCAGTAGAAGGAAGTAGCATGCTGATATACTCTCATCTGAGCTTAGAGGGCTGAAGAAGGAGAGAAGAGGGATGGGAAGGGGGTGGAATGTTTTGATTGTCCACCTGCTGGTAATGTTTGTGACAGCCTGGGGGTGTAGATGAAGAAATGAAAATTAATAGGAATGAAAACATAAATTTCAGATAGGAATTAGTCAATCTGTGTGGCAAGACAGAATGTCTCTGTCTGACTAATGAGAAGCTTGTACCTTTCTGTTTGGGGAAAAAGTCCCATTTGATTTCAATCTGTTTCTAAACTGAAGGCAAGGCATGCTATTGCCATGCAACACATAGCCTTCATGCTGGAATTGTAAGAGTATCTAATATTTTTTTAGTWAGTAATAATATTTGCAGTAAATACACAGCATGAATTGAAATAGGCATCAATTCACAGCTGTTGTGCAGGTCTGCAGTGGCATTAATTCCTTACCACTTTCGACTAATTGTTCTTATTGAGAAAAGAGGTGAGAARTAGTAATGGCAAAATTCTCACATTTGTTGATGTGTATAAACKCTTCAAAATCAGTGTAAGAATCATAKTGACTGTAATGTCATCAGAAAYTGAGAATTACCAGCATGTTATAACRCATGGTTCAGCYAGATTTTTTAAYATAGAGATCAAATCCACATTTATTRYCAAAATSATRKTAAAAAGGCAGCACTACACATAAATTAATCTTGAATATCTGACATAAAAATTGTCTTAATCTCCATGATCTATCATTTGATAGGTTCAAATCATTTACTCTTTAGCTCAGCCATCAAAGAATGTTGTTGGTCATAGAATAAAAAGCATGCTTTCATTTTGAGATTAATAAAACACATACTTCGTCCTCTACTTCAAAGTGCAGCATATGGYCATCAAAGCCAGTTCAACAGGCAAGATCGGATAGGGAAAGCAGCATCACTGCTTGATTTGGGATAAATGTATTGCACGATGCTCTACCTTAACATGGCAATGCCAGATCTGATATCTGAACTAGGTGCCCTGGCAGCAACCCAGAGATCTCAGCTGCATTGGGCAGTGTAGACATAYCCTGCAGGATAATCTCTGGACAGATATGTTCCTTTCTACTGTTTCTTATCCATTTAAATATACAGTTTTTTCTTTGGTGAACTGAGCCATAAACCACTACAAAGGAGAGGGATGAACTGTGTTTCAGTTAACATTGAAGTATATGCATACCAGTACTCAGAAAAATAGGCAAAGACATTTCATAATTCAGTATGTTTCATAACTCAGTATTTTTCTAACTGTACCGGCTGTGAGGAAGTGGATGGGACCTGGAGGCATGCACAGATTAGAATATATTAGAAAGGATTTTCTGCTGTTTTATGTTGGGCACAAGCAGTTTTGCTGTTGTTGGCGTGTCATCAGCATTTCTGTTATCAGGAAGATCAAGGGCACCTCTGTATTGTACATCTCAGCATTTTAGAACCTATTGTTCCATGCCCCAGCCTTGTTCTGAGGGCATGTTTGATATTTGAATTGCAGCATAAGGAGCCTTATGTCAATCTCTTCTCTTGCACCATAACAGCATCCAGGTGCAAAGTCTTGAATCAATGAATTGTCTTCTTGTCCAGATGGCTTTTAAATATTTCTTAGGAGGGAAGTTCCACAGCCTCCCTGGGCAACCTGTGTCACTACTCAGTCAGCTTCATAGTGAAAACTGTGCCCTGGTTTTATCAGGATCCTCCTGTGTTTCTGCAGAAAACAGGTGTCCATTGCTTCTGTTCCTGGCATTGGGCACCACCGAAGAGTGCCTGGCTCTATCCTCTTTGCAGCATCCCTTCAGGTATTTATAGGCATTGATGAAATCTTCCTGAGCCTTTTCCAGGCAGATGCTCCGGTCCTTTTGTCATTTTAGCAGACTTTCCCTGGTGTCTCTCYGGTATAACCATGTCTCTCGTTTAGTGGGGAACCCAGAACTGAACCCAGCACTGCAGATCTGGCCTCATCAGTACTGAATAAAAGGGAAATAGCAGAGATCAGCTGCTTTGGTTTTGTTCGGACCTGTCTCTTGCATATATTGTGCTATAAGGCAGCTGAACCAGGCTTTGTTTACTCAGTGACAGACTCCTGGATTAGTTCAGTTCCATCTCTCACATTTCTCATATGTAATGAATCAAAACAGACTGGTTTTGATTGTGTTGTTTTGGTGCAATTAAAGTCCAGTTAAAGCATGCAATTGACTAACTGAAGCATTTCACATTAAAAAAATATTTATATTCTTCCTCTTGTACCATCAGTTTGGGTTTCTGTTATTCTTGTATCTGTTTCAGTCCAATCAGCCAGTCGGATCCCTTAACTTGAAGGCAGTGACTAATTGGATCAGAACAATGACAACAAAGAAGGAATCCAGCTAACATAGTGAGAGGGTCCCTTGTTTGACAGCTACACAAAAATTGCATCATTGCTGCAATTCCAGCTGCTTGCCAACAAGGAGACTGCAGATCTCTGTCATCCAGAATGTCCTTCAATACCAAACCAAAAATACTGCTATCAAACTAAGATAATCCTTTTAACCATATAGCCCAAATACTAAGAGTATAGAAATTGCATAGTGAGGGGTTACCTCCTTCCCGTGTATTTCCTTGGTTCTGTAGGTTATTACAGTGATCTAAAGAAATATGAATAAAACCATATGCAAAATCAATTATTTGTTTAGATGTTACCAAAATACAGTCAGCTTTTTTTTTTTCTTTTTAACTGCATTTCATTTAAATTGTAGCCCTGTGGGAAGAGGGTCTAAATTTTTTTTGATATGTTCATTGACTGTCAATACAGTGATGTTTCAGTCCAAGCCTAAGTATGTGAAATAATAGGTCACAGCTCTAAAATCACCAGGCAATATATGCCATATTTCCCCTTTTTTCACTTTACTCCTATACCACAAACCTTCTCTGGAATAATAGTTGGAGACGAAAACATGATTTAGAAAAAAAATGTTAGAAACTAGAGTCCTTTTCATTGTTAGTCATATCTAATAACSGTTTTCCCTTTACCAGCTTTACTAGCATTGTGTCATGGAGACACAGAACAGTCTCCCTGAGAAGTGAACAAATGCARTTTRTCARATGGGGCTCTGGGTTTTGTCCCAGYRCACATTTAGCAAACTTGCAATTGMATCTYATTAATGGAAGARGTAGCATCATTGTTTGTACTTGAAAGAATAGTTCAGGAAGTTCTGTCATTTGGGGSTGGTTTCTGGTGGTGTGCTCATGCATTAGTGGTGTCCTTGGCAGCTCAGGTGCAGCAGTGTTGCAAGTTGGCAGCATCTGAACCTGCTGAAAGGAGCAGAGCAGCTCTTTCTGAGATATCCCATGATTCTACAGCAGCTTATGCATTGAAACCAGGCTGCTTTTCCTACAGATCAGCTCATCAGCAGGACTTACTAGCTTTGGTGCAATTTCCSTAAGAACCTGCTCTTAATGGCAGGTAAATCTAATGTGCTGTGCTGTAATTCAGGGATAAATGCTCTGTTTACCTTTGTGGAGAGTAGGCAGCCTTCCAGTGCCCGAAGGCAGGATCAGTAGAGTGCTTTGGTTCAGCTTACTTCCAGAAAAATACATACCTGCAAGAAAAAAAGACTCCTTCCTGAAAGAAGTGTTGAAGAAATCTGTTGTAGTATGTGCTGTATGGTTGATCTCATATGATTAAAATGGGGTTACRTAGTAGAGATTTCGTGTCCCCAACATCTGAAATGCCTTTGTCCTTCATTTGTTTCCCACCACTGGAAGAGGAGTGAACAGTGATAATAATGAAGATGAAAGCATGACTCTTAAAACTGTCTGATAATGAACTTTTGGAAATGCAGTGATTTCCTTTTGGAAATGCAGCAATGATTTTGTGTATTACATGTTCTTGAAAAGACGGAAAAACCCAAACTTCTCTGTGTGCAAGGTATTTGGTCTAAACAACAAAAAGGAATTCCCCAAATAAACCTTACAATGATATGCTGAGGAACAAAAGGTGGTGGAAGCTGGATAGACGGAGCTTGCAGTAGCTTGTTATTAATTTGAGCATATTTGCTTTGTGTATCTGTTAACTTAAGTCTTCTTCCAGGACGAACAAAAAAAAATGTCCTGAGATTAAATTATCACAGTGTTCTCAGTTCAGTTTGCAGTTTCATGCTTCTCATTTCTTGCATGCCTGATTTCATTCCCTTTTTTTTTTAAAGCTGATTTCCTAACCTCTGTGTCATGGTAATGTTCAGCAGTGCAGCTGAAGTGAGTTATCTGCGTAAGCAGAGTGAGACGGGAATGGGTTCTTCTGCCTATGAAACAGCCCTACCCATCTGTTGCTGAGAAGGGTTTTAGTTGATTGAGGGATAAGAGTCAGAAGAATTTGTGCTGCAGGATGGCAGATGTTGGAGAGTGGAACCCCAGCTGTGCCTTTCCCAGCAGTCTGGACTGTCCCTAGGCCTGGCCAGTGTGGCAGAGCCCTGTGGTGAGCAGGAACATGGGYACAAGGGTCTCCCAGGGAGGTCATGGAGTCTYTTCTTATGCAGAGTGTTCAGGCATCTGGGACATCAGCTCAGCAGGCTGACTAGGATTTCATAAAACTTCAAAAATGCTGCCTCTCCTGTTGGTGTGAAAAGCTTTTGTCACTGTGCTGCTGAAATCTGTATGTTCCCGAGGAACATTTTGATGATTTGGTGTTTTTTCCATTGGAGAAAAAGTTCTGTTGAGAGATTACTGGAAAAGGATGCCCCTTGCTATATGACATGTTGCTGCACACTGCTACTGAAATCCCACGGTATAATAAGACAAGTTTCACAKATAGCTGAGGTGACAGAGCCACTAYCAGTCCTGRTTATTTAATTTCCTTCYCAAGCTGCAACTTGTTTCTAAAATTTAACTTACTTGTTTATGGAGAAGGAAAGAAAACACTCAGAAAGGCTTTGGTTAGCATCCAGCTAGACCATAAAGTGTAAAGTAGCTCCAAGAGTTAAATTTGTGAACCTGGTTTGTGTGATCAGTAGACAGTCAAAAAATATTTGAAAGCCACTTAGCAATATTTAATTGCCTGCAAAAGTGCACAGCTGGGAAGACAAGCATGTTCAGCAAAAGCAAATAGTGGTGTATAGATACAAGAAAACCAGTCAAGTAGAATGCTCTGAGCASCAGTAATACTACTGAGTGTCACTAACAACAGGAGGTGAGGTGACACACATGGGTGACACTTGCTCCCTGCAGAATGGCTCCCGAGCTGAGTCTCTGSTCTAGTCAGGGGTAGAAGATGGGAACAGAAGACCATCCCTTGTGGTCCCTGAGGTAGCTGGGAGGTGCAGTAAATCTGCTGCTAGTTTATCTTCACAGTAGCCTTGCCCACCCATCACAGGTATGAAGACAAGCCAACGGCAGCCCTTGGTCTGCTGCCACGGCAATCTGTGTGCATGTGTACAGGATTTTGAGAATGCAGCCACAAACCCAATTCAGATTCCACTCAGCTCCTGGCTGGCTGAGGAGGTGCTGAAATTCCCTGGATATCTACTGATCTGCTTAGAGCAGAGGTACTTGAGGTAGTTTTAAACAGCAGTGGGCCATTGAGTAGCACTGAGAGCAGGGCAAATAAAGCAGAACAGTTAATTCAATATTACACTGTAGTGCCCGTGGTGGAGTGGTTGTGATTCCAGTATAATTCTCAGACATYCGTGTAGTTTCCAGTTCTCAAGGGCTACTGAAGTGAAGTAAGCTATGGTTTGCATTTTGGCCAAGACCAAGCATAGACTTCTGTAGTTCTAGGGAGGCATGTAGGTGAGCAGTGTTTAAGCTGCCTTGACTCAAGGCTGGGAAAGAAGCATTTGAAATACATCCAARTCCATAAGGGATATGTGTGTGTTTCCCATTAATACCCACTTYATTAGCACTGGCCACTGTTTAACAGTTACTGTGGAGGAGATGAAAACTACCTGACAGTGTGTTTGTGATAGGAGATCAGAAAATTGGTTGCTACACCTTCTGTGTGGTAGCCTCTCTCCAGCTGTTCAGAACTTAAAAGCTTAGAGAACCTCTGTGACAGAAAGTAACAATAAAACAGGGGGGTTCCTAAGTAACAGGAGAAGCTTCAGGGGAAGATGTTGATCTCAACTGCTTTCCCGTTGTCAATGGCTTGGAATTGCCTTATGCAGTGAAGAGGGAGTGTGGATGCCAAACTCAGGAGTCGTGATTTCTTTAGACAGGAAGGGATTTAGGGAATAAGAATTGGGGTTTTCAGCTTCAGCCAGCCCTATCACTTGGCAAGAGATTGGTATGAATAAGGTCATTCAGGTAAGTTTCTATTGCCTTAATGCATTCATATTGCTGAAAATATTTTAAACCAAGGTGAAATTACAAATGAGATGCAGAAAATTGAGCCAGTAATAAACCACACTGCAGTCTTGCTTTTCCACTTCTTAAAATTAACTTAGCAACCTGAAACAAGTCAGAGAATGTGACAAGTGTAGTAAAAATAGGTATAAATATAATATGGGCCGTATTAAAACTTCTCACTGGTTAAAATTTGGCTGCATGAGGAGTGCAGCAAATAACGTTGCATATATATATATGTGGAACAGTTGTGGCTGCTGAGCTAGCATATTCGGAAATAGTATGTATAAAAGATAATATTTCATTCCTGTACCTTCAGGTATTACTAGATGTGATTAGGTTACATTAATTAATATTAGATGTGGCTTATTTAATTGTAACTACAAGGGACAGGCTGCTCTTTGGTATGTGTGTTTCTTTCAGCTTTGAAATTCCCTTTAGTTCCTACATAGTGTATTACCAAACCCTTCAGGGGAGCACCTAGAAAGTTGGGCTTTGGCCAGATTTTGGGGAGTGGTCTGGGGAAGCTGAGTGGTGGTTCATTTACAGACATTTAGTAAAAGCACAGCAATCTTTTAGATTTAGTGAGTTTCCTGTAGATATCACGTATCACTATAAGTAATAAAAGCATTAAGTTTTCTGAACAGTTGTTGGTATGTGGGAAGAGATGCGTGTTAGTTCACCTTAGTTCACAGAATCCATACGTTTTGTCACTGAGTCTTTCATTAGTAATCAACAAGAAATTACTGCTGCTTAGGGTAGACATAGTGTCTTAACTAATAAAGGAAAAAAGCAAACCAGGGGGAAAATACATCTATTACATAGCCAAATATGATACAAATTTTAATATTTGGTATTATTTCTTCTGTCATGTTTTTAGTTGATGGCAAGGATGACTTGGGTGTTCTTCTCTATTGTTTAAGTCATGTACATAACCCAGAGTTAATGCAGTCTTTCTCTAATAATCARCTCTCAGTTCCAGAGTAAATGAGTAGGTTGTTTGTTCCTTCTGTACAGGAGGATATAGATATCTCTGCGTGCTCTACTAGCATGTTCTTTTTCCTTTCTTCAGTCCCACTCTTGCCATGGCCCACAGGAATCTGACTGGAAGCTGTAATGTTAACTGTGGATGTAAGATTCATGAGTACGAGCCTGTCTGTGGATCAGATGGAATAACATATTTTAATCCTTGCCTAGCTGGCTGCATCAGTGGTGGAAACCACAGCACAGGGGTAAGTGCTTCACCCACCATCCACACACAACCCCTGAGTAGCTCCTTGGGACCAGTACAGATCAAAGACTTCCCTGTTCCTAGCTAAAGCATCCCWCCTCTAAACTTCAGAGAAGTTCTCTACAGCTGACTTGTCCATCTCTGAGCCTTTCCATGTTTGGAAAGTCTGGTAATGCTATTATTGCATGGTCTCAACCCACTTCCTTTAGTTGTGTACCAATTATAGGCACAAGTTYATTTGTACCTAGTGAATCCTCCAGCTGAGTGAATGCAGAATGCCATGGGATAGGGAGGGCTGGTGTTTCCAGTACAGACCCCAAAGACCTTGGTGGCAGTGGCCTGCATACCTCCTGTTCCTGCAGGGCTTGGAGAGGCCTTGAGTCAATCTCATCTAATTCAGCTTTCTGCCCACACAGGCAGCCATGTCAAACTGCCTTTCTTCAAGCTCAGTCTTACCTTTTAGAGCAGTTTGTTTTTTTTTTTTTT